TTTTATTTTCCAAGGTTGATTGAAAACACTGCTACCAAGGCTTAGAGCATCTCCCCTTCTGAAAATAAGTCATGTCAGAGGTCACAACAAGCAATTGACTTTTGTAGAATAACAGTGGCAGACTAACCTGAGGATTCCCAACTAGAGAATTACAGCATCATTGGAAGGAGTTCGCTCTAAACCACCTACCATAATTATGTCTGCCTAGTTTTATGCAAACTGCATTACACTACGTATAATAAGAGAAAAAAATTCGCTCTCATTTTCCCAAAATTGAGTTGGGTACTTGGAATGGCTTATAATAAAAAACATGAAATTAGATGTGTATCTGCTTTGTCATTGCAATGTATTGGGTGAGAAAAAGCATAAAAACTTGAGTAATATTTGTTTGTCTTTATACTTGATATTAAAATGAGTATGAATGACAACATCAGTGTAACATCAAATATATCCATGGAACCTATTTTAGAAGAAATATTACACGCTTACTGTGTGCTCACTGAATTCCAGACACGTTTCTAAGTGTTTACCACAAATACATATAATCCTCCTAATAGTCTTTTTTTATAGGCAAGTAATCTAAAGCAGAAGATCATGTCAGCTTATGTGAGACAGAGGCTGAGATGCGAACGTGTGGCTGTAAGTGGCCTGATCCCAGCCTGTACAAACACTAGACAAGGCCTTGCTCTTGCTCAGACAGGTCCTCAAACTCCTGAGCTCAGGCAATCCACCCATCTCGGTCTCACAGAGTGCTGGGTTACAGGCATGAGCCTCTGCACCTGACCCTAATTTTACTGTTTTGATAATCCTATTCCTCCTTAATGAGGACATAAAAATGAAATATTCCGAGTTCTCAAAAAAAAAAAAAAAAAAAAAAAAAAAACAACTCCCAATGACTTTCTGAATAGCTTTAAGGGTCTTTTCAGAGTTCACCGAAAAAGTACGTGCTTGGATAATGAGTACTGCACCTCGCAGGTTCTCCAGGCCAGATCTGGCCATGACTGTGTTTAGGTTGGATGGAAGAGTATAACGAGGGATGAGTTGCAGGCTTTGGGGCATAGATTGGTTTTATCCATCTTTATAGAAGAATGTTTTCATTTTGGAGTACCATTTATGAATGTTTACTATTCACTATCTTAGGACCTGAATTCCACCAGCGAGACTGTGATGCACCCATCTTCCCATGAAGAAACAAACTTTTATAAAACTAAAGTCAAGCTCTTTGTACTTCTTCATGCTTTCAGAATTCGTGCAGTGACTATTGATAGAGTGATGAGCTATCTGAATTCTTCCTAAAAGGCTGGAGCAGAAACACAATTCTTAAATGCAGTGGGGGTGGGGAACAGTTTTGGCCTATCTCAATGGTTCCATCCCTGTGTCTCCTGTCGCCCAGACT